CCGTCCCGACATTCGCCGCCGCTGCGACAGATGGTGCCCCGTGTGAGGGGCTGCGACAGTTGGCATAAACTCTTAATGAAAATAAGATCCGTGTGGCAAACCTTTGTTGGCAGCTGGTCAGGGATACAGTTGATCCGCTCCTGCTCATTTACCACAGGGCACTCCACAGAGCTAGGGGGTGCACTTGTCCCAGAATCTGAGGATGTCACAGAAACAAACATAAAATGGCCATCAGACATGGTCAACATCACAGGCATGCAATACCACCATAGTTCTCAACTCCTCGGATTATATCAGCTCCACTGTAGATAGAGCTTCTTGCTCGTGTCTTCAGTATTGGTTTGTTCACTTTGTAAAACCTCAGCTTATTCTTTTAACTGGATTTACCTCTGTGTATACCTGCATCGGAGCCTAGTGGCACAGTGGTTAAGACCAAAAAGTCGGCAATTTGAATCCACCAGTCGTTCCTTGGAAACTCCACAGGGCAGTTCTACTCTGTCCTGTAGGGTCACTATGAGTCTGAATCAACTCAATGGCAATGGGTTTGTTTTTTTATATACCTGCATTGGCTCCTTCTACCCCCAAGCCCCTCCCACTATAAGACGCTGCATGCAAGAGCAAGGAGTTTGACTTTACCACTAGATGGGAAGCTTGCTAACGTGGGAACCAAGTGCCCTTCCTCTATCCAGGGTCCAGAAACTATGGCCCAAGGGCCAAAGCAAGTTTTTTTTCTTTTTTGGAACACAGCCACACCATTTGTTTCTGTGTTTTCTGTAGCTGCTTTTATCTCACAATGGCAAAGTCAAGTAGTTGTGACAGAGACAGTATGGCGGAAAAGTCTAAAACATTTCCTTCAGATAAAAAATTTGCCAAGTTCTGCTCTAGTCCTTTGCTTCCACCCCCCAGCAGCTGGTTGAGAACATGCTCTGCACGCAGGACATGTGCATGCTGTTGCCTGATCATAGTCAACTCAACTCCACAGGCTCAGCCACCAGCCAACCCTCCGCCTCCATTCCTGCATGGTCCTATCTTTACATAAATGTGAAGTTGCATAACCCACTGCCTTCGAGCGGATTCCAACTCATAGTGTCCCCATAGGGGTTCCAAGGCTGTAAATATCTACAGAAGCAGACTGCCACACCTTTCTCTCATGGAGGTGCTGGTGGTTTGGAATCACCAGCCTTTTGGGTGGTAGTCGATCGCTTTAACCACTGCACCACCATAAGATCAAACAATGTAAAGGGAGCCCACTGATGTAGAAATTGGCCACTAGGACCTACCCAAGGGCTAGAGAGTTTGATTTCAGATTAAAAATTAGTAAAATTAAAAAGGCACATTTATTCCATTCTAAAGTAAAGAACTGAGTTTTCTTGAAGGTTCTCTGCAATAAGTGAATCATGGCATTAAGACAAAACAGGGAGGCTTTTGATTAGCTTTGTTTTCATTAGGGTTTCCAATTCATCGATGATGGATTAATAGAACTCCGTATTTGTGCCAGTGTCTGCAGAAGGCTAGTAGTTCCATCTCTGGGATCACAGAATTTTGGGAGTCTAACAACCTTCCAGATGATCTGATCTAACTTCCCATTAAGGTAGAAGTTGCTGTGACTGGGGGTGGGCTAGGAGGGGCTGGCAGGCTTTCCACCGGCCCCAGACTGATGCTTTGCTTTGCTGCCTGGATTTCCTCGGAAGCTGCCCCTGGATGAACCAGATAAGGCAGCGTGGATGACTCAGCACAGTTCAGCCTCCCGCTTGAATAAGGCAGTTTAATCAAATAACTCAGGTAGGGTTTTGTTTTTTTCTAAAGAACTAGATTTTGGCCTAAAAGACTAATTGGTTACCTTCTTATTAGGCTGCCTTTCATATAAGTGTATTTTATCATTATTAATAGAATTAAGCTTATTCAACAAAATTCAACAAATATACTTCAAGTATTCATTGTGGAAACCTGAACTATGCTAATAAAATCGGGAAATGAAAGTATCTGAGCTTAAACCTACAAAGGGAATCTCTTGAGCTGCCACAATTTTAGTAGGTCTACCCACACAACCCACAACCACACACACACATACACACACACACACACAAATAACCATGGAAGAAGGGCTTCCCTGCCACTGATGTGGGTTTTGCTCTGATAAGAATATATGGGCTGAGACCATGAGAATTCTTTGTTACCTGTGGATTCCAAAGACTCTTTGGCCAAAAGCACAAACATAGGAATGGTGATGACAAACACTACCAGCAGAAGAGCACTGAGCATAAGCTCCAAAGCAGTAAACTTTTTAAACTTCTTTCTCGCCATCTATAAAAAAAGCAGAGGGCAATTTTAAATTTTGGTCTTATTTAATACATAGCTAGTAAACTTTTCATGGAAAATCTCAAATGTGTGCGTAAGTAGCAATCCTCATGTACCCATCACCTAGACTAGCAAATTATCAGCTCATGGCCAATCTTGTTTTCTCTGTCCCTACCCCCCGATTATTTTGAAACAAACTTCAAATTTCGTATCTCTTACTCTGAAAATAGTTCAGTAGATTTCTTTAAAAGATAAGAAAGTTTACAAAAGAAATGATATTATCAAAATACTATCATCACACCTAAAATATTAACAGTAAGTCCTAAAGGTCATCAAATATCTACTCAATGTTGAAATTCTTATTGTCTCATCAACTTTTTATAGTTTGTTCTATTCTAACAAGCATCAAAGTAAGATTTATATATTATAATTTATGTTGGTTAACCAAACCAAAACCAAACCCATTGCCATCGAGTCGATTCCGACTCATAGCGACCCTATAGGACAGAGTAGAACTACCCCATAGGGTTTCCAAGGAGCGGCTAGTGGGTTCGAACTGCCGATCTTTTGGTTAGCAGCTGAAGTCTTTTTTAATCAATAGGGTTTGTTCTGTAGATTTTCTCACCACCTGGATTTCGTTGGTTGCACCGCCATGCATACAACAATGTTTCCCCCACTCTTCCATTTCCTGTAAATTAATTATTAGATCTAGAGGTTTGATGAGATCCAGGTTTGATTTTCTGGCAAAAATGCAGCATAGGTGGTGTAGCATCTCCTGGCAGGAGACATACAATACCTCCTAGATTCTCTTAATGTGATGTTTACGGCCATTGATGAACGCTGCCTAGACCCATTGTCTCATTAAGAGTTGTGAGATAATGATATCCCAATTCCAGCATTCTTTACTCATTTATTAGCTGCAATGTTCCTAGAGAGAGAAATTTCCCCTCATCTATTATTAGGCTCGTAAGTATACCATTCATATAGGAAAGGTAGGATAAATACTTGACTCCTTCTCTTTATTTGTTGTTGTTGTTGTTAGGTGGCATCAGGTCCATTTTCAACTCATAACAACTCCATGTGACCCAGTAGTACTGCCCCCATAGGGTTTTCTAGGCTGTAATCTTTACTGAGGAGGCCAGGTTGCTCAGTGGTTTGAGCATTCGGCTGCTAACAAATGGTAGGCAGTTTGAATCTACCAGCTGCTCCTTAGAAACTCTGTGGGGTGGTTCTAGTCTGTCCTATAGGGTTGCTGAGTCAGAATCGACTCGACGGCAACAGGTTTGGTTTCTGGTTAATCTTTATGGGAGCACATCATCATATCTTTCTTCCTCAAAGCTGCTGGGTGCGTTTGAACTGCCAACCTTTAGGTTTGCAGCTGAATGCTTAACCATTGCACCACCAGGACCTTTTTCTTTATTGGTTGTTGTTGTGTACCGTCGAGTTGATCCTGACTCATAATGACACTATAGGACAGAGTGGAAGTGCCCCATAGGGTTTCCTATGTAATCTTACAGTAATCTGTAATCTTACAGTAGCTGGTGGGTTCAAACAACTGACCTTTAAGTTAGCAGCCGAGCACTTAACTACTGCACAACCAGGTCTTCTTTTTCTTTATTTACTGGCTTTCAAATTAAAGAATTGTTTCCCTAGAATTCTCTAAAGGAGACGCATGAGATTTTTTTTGTCCAATATCTTTATGAACTCAGGGATTTAAGCACAATTTATCTACACTAATCCATTGCGGTTATTAATTTTGCTATTAACGCTCATATTGCCCTATCTTTGGCCTGTGGGAGCCTTTTCACGTTGGTTCTTGAGTCCTGTTGACAGAAGCCTACAGTCTTTGATAGCTTTCTTGCTAACATGATATCCCAGACTCATCTTGTAATTTTCTGTCCCGGGTCTAGAATCAGCCATCTCTCTAAGGAGCCCTGGTTCTTTCTAGTGAGACTACTATTTAGAAACCATAATCAGGATGAGAGCTGGTAAAATTTAACTTAGGATTCTAGAACTGAAAAAACCTTATGGCTCATCTTAGCCAGTGGTGGTCTTTGGGGTCCCCAGGGGATCCTTGAGGATTTGCAATTTCAAGCAGTTTACAGAAACTACACATAACCTCAGCCATCATTGCTGCTAGTTACCATTGAGTCGATTCCAACTCATAGTGACTCCATGCGTTACAGATTAGAACTGCTCCATTGGGTTTTCTTGGCCATAATCTCAACAGAAGCAGATCATCGGACCTTTTCTTCCACGGTGCCACTCGGTGGGTTTGAATTGCCAACCTTTAGGTTAGCAGTCGAGCACAAACCATTTGCACCACCGAGGAACCTAACCTTAGCTAGGGATTAGAATATTTTGTGAAGAAGTTAAAATCAGAAGCTCAGCACCTACCTCCCACTCAACACCTACTGACTCAGAATCTCTATGGGTAAAGCCTGGATATCTGATTTTTTTAAAAACTCCATCGACGATTCTGATGTGTAACCATCTTCCAGAACCAGAGACCCTGTTGTAGGTCTGCAGGTTGTAATAAACACACTTTGATTATTTGGCAAAAGCATTCAAAAGTGGTGCCTGTGAAGTTAAAAAAAAAAAAAAGTGGAACTAATGGTTAGTCTAGCCCCTTTATTTTATAGATAAGTAAAGTAAGATAGAGTAGGATAAGTGCCTTGATCAGATTGTCCAAACAGGTGAATGTAGTTCTCTCCGGCTAGTGTAGCCATCCTGGTGATTTTTGGTGGGCACCACATGAATGGAACATTTTGGAGTCTACCATAACCTTAATCTTGAGCCATTGGCCTCACCCTGTTCCTGTCACCTTCTTCCAACCTGCTCTTGATCTCCTAGTGGCCTCTTTCTGCCCTTGCTTCCAACAGATTTGATGTAAGGCATTATATTCCTGGTTATGAAGGGTTTGATGTGTATCAACTAGCTGTCACAAGCTGCCTTGGAATTGAATGCCCTCCTCCTAGCTACCTCTGGCTTTCATGGCCTCCCACCACAGAATTTCCACATGTACGGTGTCCTTCCTGTGAACCTAACGGGGTCTCATGCTTCCCAGTTCAGTGCTCCCTGCCAAGCAGACCACAGTATCTCTATAATGCATCAGGAATCCTGTGTGCTCCTGAACTACAGAATACTGACGTCAAATGCATGAAGCACATCTTGTCCAGAAGCTAAGGGTAAATACATAGCATTTTAAGTCAAAATTTGGCTCTTAAGATTCATACACTTCAAAATCTAAATTGTCATCCTTTATATTCAAAGGCCCACCATAAACTGGGCTCTGAGGTGCTTTCTCACTAGTGGGGAAGGATGAGGCATCTGCACTCTCCTCCAGTCTTTCCTTGGTGGAGAGTCACAGGGAAAACTGTACCCAGAGATGAAGTAACTGCTCAGATGGAGAGATGTTGATGTCCTGGCCCTGTAAGTTGGACTGCGTATCTGTCCAGACATGGAGCACAGAAACACAGCAAATGTTCAAATAAAGAAGTAAAACTGTCACACATCTGAGGGTGGGTCTTGTGATCAACAAAAAACAAGGACTAAAGAGAAGAACTGACCACTACTCAAGCAGGGACCATAGGATTTGTCCCTGTTACCTGACCCCACTGGAACCGGTCCTCCAGTAAGGCTCCCTAGTCCTTGACCAGGAAGGTGCCCACCACATTTGAGGGGTTTTCTTACCACTGACCGAACTGCCACACACAGACTGAAATGAGAGTTGTGCCTCACCTGGAGTCCTTTCTAGAAACCTCCCTCAATGCCCTTTGTCAGGGGCCATTTTGGTTTGGAACTGTGTTGTAGCATCACCCCCATCACTCAGATCACCTCCTTCCCAGGGTTTCCCCTCACCCCTTTCTTTGTCCTCGGAACCTACCACTGTCATTAATTAAAAGGCTTGTCCTGTACAGCTCAACATTCTTGCATTGTCTCTCAAACATTAACTAAAACACGCCCTTTGGGTACTTCTGCCAAATTCGAAGGGCTTTTTTTTTTTTTTTTTTTTGAATTAGGTAATGTTTATTGTCTTTGAAAGGGAAGACTTGACATTTCATTTCATTGGCTTAGCTAAGCTCTGAGAACCCCAGAAATACCCTATCAGTTTACCTAGGAAAGCAATATGCTTCAGGGATAGCATTCACAAAAACAGTGACATACAAGAAAGACAAAGCTTATTTCCCTCTCTTCCAGATCAAAGAACTGAGATGCAGTGGTTTATTGACACTCATCCAAGACACAGGACACGTCAGTGAGACAATCAATGGCCCCAACTTCCACCTTAGGGATCTCCTCATGACCTTTCTATCTCTTACTTAAGGATACACTCTATTTTTCACATTTTTTGGAAGAATGTATGTCTTTCGACACAAATGTAGCACTTCTCCAGAACTGTAAGAAACTATGGATAGTCATATTATAATACATAAATGTGCCACTCAGAAGGGAGTGCCACCTATAGAAAGTCATATCTTCACAAGCCATACATAAGCCAGAATTAAGGGAGACATTTCTCTTAGGGCTACACAGAATCTATATGTCCTTTAGTTTATAAAAGAAAATGAAGCCACTATCCTCCCACACAACAGAAGCAATGCATGGTAGAAAGTGAACTCTAGTCTTGAGAATCAAAAGACCTGAATTTTATTACTCCTTCTGAGAATAGCTAACCAGACGACCTTGGGAAATTAACTTGACCTTTCTGGATCTCAGCTTCCTCATTGATAAAGAGGTTGAACTAGAAGATCTATAAACTCCCAACCAGCTTTTAATATATCGTGTTTGAGCGAGCTACACAAATTTCTTGCTTCTTAACTCCTCCTTGCCCCAAAAGATGCCTGTGCTAAACATTTATTAGTATTTTCTTTTTTCCCCTTCTCAGGACTGAGGGCAGTGCTACACAGAGCATTAGAAGAACTGAGCTTGGTCCCCAGCCCTACCCTTCCTTGCAGTAACCAAAACAACTTACTGAGTGTTTTTAAGTCTCAGTTTTCTTGTCTGTAAAATCAAACGACTTATTGCATTGGGCAAATCTGCTGCAAAAGACCTCTTTAAAGTGTAAAAAGCAAAGAAGTTACTTTGAGGACTAAGGCGCGTGTGACCCAAGCCATTGTATTTTCAATAGTCTCATACACATGTGAAAGCCGGACAAAGAATAAGGAAGACCAAAGATGAATTGATGCATTTAAGTTATGGTGCTGGCAAAGAATATTGAATGTACCATGCACTGCCAGAAGAATGAACAAATATGTCTTGGAAGAAGTACAGCCAAAATGCTCCTTAGAAGTGAGAATGACGAGATTCCGTCTATGTACTTTGGACATGTTATCAGGAGAGACAAGTCCCTGGAAAAGGACACCATGCTTGGTAAAGTAGAGTGTTAGTGAAAAAAAGGAAGACTCAACAAGATGGATCAACACAGGCTGCAACAATGGACTCAAACACTGAAACAACTGTGAGGATGGCGTAGGACTGGGCAGTGTTTCATTCTGTTGTACACAGAGTCGCTATGAGTCAGAAGCGACTCCACAGCACCTAACAACAACAAAATAGAACTAATAATATCTATTGTTATTATCTATTACCACCTCCTCTTTTTGAGAGTCAGATGAAAATGCTTTAAATTATAAAGCATTAGATACCATTTTATTACTATTGACCATAGGAAGAAAGGCCTAGTGATCCGCGCCAAAAATCAGCCACTGAAAACCTTATGGATCACAACAGTCCAACCCAAAATCAACCATGGGGATGACACAGGACTGGGCAGCATTTTGTGCCATTCTACATAAGGTCACAGTGAGTTGGGGACTGACTCAATGGCAGCTAATAACAACCACACTGACCTTAGAGAAGACAGTGGGTAAGTCTCGGGTAAGAAATAGAACATTCCTAAGACATATGTCAACCTCAAGTTCACGGGCATGGTGGTGCAGCTGACTCATTGCTTTGGGAGGAGCCAATGCATGTTCCTGCTGCCATCCTTATAAATGTGCTTTGATACAAGCTCTTATCTGCTAAGTGCTTTATGGCCCCATGCACCAGGTAATGCACTCATAATCTCAGACCAAAAGTGCAGAAATCCAGGAAGGAGCAGGAGGAGTACGGCCCCTGCAATCTTGTCCATCCAAGCCCACTTTCTCCAACCACCACCCACCACTACTCTCCCAGGCTGCTTGTAAATCACACTCTCTTTACTCAAAAGGAGCATCCCATCTTTTCTTTCCCCAGGCCTTACTTCATGACTCCCAAGCTAGGATATCTTCAGTCCTCAGATCAGTCATGGTGTATGGCACTTCCTTATAGCCTCATTCTCCACCACATCAGCGTATCCTCACACAACCACCACTGTCTCCTCAGTCAGAGGAAAGCAGGTGAGTCCTTTGCCCAAGGATTAGGTAACAAAAGGGTTTGCTTCTCTTAAGTCAATGACAGCTTACTGTTAGTCAGCGCAATCCCCTCTTACTGCGCAAAAGGAAATGGAGCTGTGAGAGATCCCTTTCTCTAGAGAAAGGATTGCTTTAATTTTCCTAAAATAAATTACCCCAACTTAGTCTTTCTTTCTCAACTCTCTCCACTACCACTCATTCTCAAAGGCTTTATAAGAAACCCCATAAAACTTATCTTGCTAGTAAAATTCCATAAAGATGAATAACGTTCCCTGCCTGATATAGTTAAATTAGACAAAAAGAAAAGGAATGACCTCATGTCCACTGGCAGGAGAGAATAGTGAGAATGTCTACCAAAGTGACCATGTCCCTTTGGTGGTTGTTAACAATTGTGACATGGGAGATTGTTATTTATATTAATATTTTTTAAAGTTCCAAATTTTTAATACACTGTGTTAGACACTGTGGAGAAAAAACATTACTGGACAAACTGTAAACAATATGCTCAACAGAAGATGGTTTGGCAAAAACTATTAAAATTACTCATACCCAGGAGACGGCCTAGATGGCAGCTTAGTCAGACACACCATGCGATCCCATTACAGCAAAGACCCAAGAAACCAAGTAAAACAGATATAGGTGACAATCCTGGAGCACTGAGCATCAAACAGAAAGGTAAAGAATTAGATCGAACACCAGTTGGAAGGAGGAACTGAACAAAAGTAGTGAACAAGGAGAGATACAGAACAGACGTGCCCTAGCTGGCCCGGCACAGCATAGCATTTTGAGACAAAGCCATCAGCAATCCTAGGTGAGGAGCCCAGGAAGGCAACTTCATGGAATTCCCAATAGGAAACAGAGAAACTGTGTAGATATACCAGGAGTGAAGCAAGGTTTGCAGGTCATGAAGCAGAACTAAGGAGGGAAAGCGCAGGAAGGAGGGTGAGAGCTCAGGGATCCTGGAGTCCACAGAGGATGGAGGGAGCCAGGATCCAGAGACAGGACTACTCACCAGCAGTGATCCCTGACCATTAGGGTGGGTGGGGCACACAGACTAATAGATCCATAGAGTGTCAGCAGGACGTCCCCCATCTGACTAGATTCTGGGCAGCCCTCCCCCCCACCCCGGACTTGGTTGGGGCCAGGTACCAATTGCTGGCTGCGGTCAATGGGGAGTGCAGAGGC